GGTCCCGCGGTGGCTGGGGAAGAGGCTGGACCGATGCTGGGGAGGCGATGGCTGGCGCTGGGGAGCACTGGGCTGGGGGGGGGGTGTCTGCCATGGAGAAACATCCCGCAATTCTAACACTGCTCTTCCTCTCCTGCCCTTCTCCCCCTCCCCTGTGTGTTTCAGGACATGGAGGCGTGAATCAGCTGGGGGGTGTTTTTGTGAACGGCCGCCCCCTCCCAGATGTCGTTCGCCAAAGGATTGTGGAGCTCGCCCACCAAGGGGTCCGGCCGTGTGACATCTCCCGGCAGCTCCGCGTCAGCCACGGCTGCGTCAGCAAAATACTTGGCAGGTAAAGGGGGGACAGCGAATCCGTCTGTGTCCGTCAGGAGAAAAGCGTCAGTGCCCGTCCCTTAATTGAAGGCTGCAAACAAATGGAGAGGAGTAGAAACCTCAGGAAATGGGTCCAGTGAGGAGAGGGGCTTCCTGACCAATCCTGGTTTTATAGGCCTGATGCGGGGAAAAAGCGCCAATATTCGTATCCCTGCTTTGCCCCTTTCACAGTTCCTTATAGGCAATTATAACACAAAGCGCAAAATGCCACGTGGGGTGCGTCTGCTGTACGTACATGGCACGCATCCCGCACTGGTCTGTTCCGAACGTGTGGAGAAATCTGGGAGTCATCTTCAGAAAAATGGAAAAAAAAATAGAAGTTGTGCAAGTTGCTCGTTTTGCGTTCTGAAGACGACTCTCTTTTAGCAGTAATGTATACGTGATACCTATATGTCGACGTTGCTGTGCGTTCATTTGCAAAGGGCATTTTGCAATCTGTCGCACGGGTCATTTCAATGTCCTTTCCTACTCTTGTGCTGGAACATGTTCTTAAGTGGAGCACAGAATGCCATAAGTAGCTATTAACCATCTTAATTTTGGGTATTTTGGGCAAAGCCGTCTGTTTGGGCTGGAGCTGCTCGAACCACTATGGCAACAGGAAATTAAACTCTGAATTCAGATAATTTCCTGACTTCAATCTAAAATTTGACATAGATTCAGGTCAAAAATACCATCCTTGCTTCTTTGTATCTTGTGAACAGATCTGAACGTATTTTGTGTGAATTATGGTGGTTTTGGACTCCAGGTATTCTGAGGTACTTGAGCAACTTATATTAGGGAAAACATTTTTTGTGGTAAGAATATGTTTTTCTTGATAATCTGGAAGAGTTAATTCCTGAACTATTTACTAAACTTCTGCAGTTAACTTCATTGTTTAGAATTTTGCTCTTTCTTACTATTTTTATTTTTACCACCTCTTTCTTTCCCATTTTTTAACCGATTTGCTCTCCTGGCCATGGCATGGCTGCAGCAACTGCTAAGGCAGGTTTTTTCCTAGTGCCGCGCAGGGGGTCTGCTTGGATTAGCAGCATTTACGATCTCTCGGTGGCCGTTTAAGTCTTCAGAATCAGACTGACTTGTCGAAGCCGCAGGCCCCTGGTTTTGTAGCTCTTGGCGTTCTTTTCCCCGCAGCCCCCTCTTGCCTATGCTCGCCTTAACTGGCCCACGCCGCCTCCGCAGCCCCGCTCGGCACGCTTCCAGAGTGCTGCGCGAGCCAGCGTGCAGGTTACGCTCAGCGTCCCTGCTTTTGCTCTCATGCCTTCATCGCAGGGAGACGCATCCTCCTGCAAGCTACACGCATTCCTCCCGGCGTGGGTTGGAGGACATCGGTGCCTTTACTGTTTCAGGGAGGAAGACGTTCCATGGGCTTTATCTGAGACCTGCCTGCCCACCACGGGCTGCTTCGCTCAGTTACCGCTTCGCATCCGCTGTCGGCACAGGCTCCTGCTCCCAGCCTGGCTGGCGCGGTTCGGCTGGAGATGCTCTCCGCTGCAGTAGACTTGCCACCAGTTCCCATCAGGGCCAACGTACAGCTAAGAGAGGGGCGATCGATTTACTGACCGGGCAAATGCCCGATGGTTTTACCTTCGGTAGTTTGAATAGATTTACCGTTAGATGCGTTCGCACTGCAGAGCTAAGAGCGAGGCTCCAGAGCTTTGTCATTAAAGTTGTCAACAATAAATTGGAATTTCATAGCTCGTTATTTTCATAACTAATAATTACAGTGGGTAAAATGTCACTGTAATTGCAGCTCTGTGCTTGCATGTGTGTGAAAAAATGGGAATCCTTATGATAAATCCTTACATTTGGAATTTTATGGTCGGAGTTTTTCACTCCTCGATACAGACTCAGAAGACATCCATAGCCAGGGAGGCAGCACGTGCAGCGCCTTGGAGGAGGGTGCCGCAGGGG